ATTAGTTCATTTTGGATTTAACTCTGGGTCCCTCCACCAAAAAACAAACAAACAAACAAAACTATCAAAGCAATTTTGAGGCTTTAGCTCCACATATCTGTTTCCATGAATCACGTCTCTTCTGGCTTGGTGAAATAAGATACATTTTTTTTTTTCATGTTTAGGAGTGTAAGGAGATTCCTCTGAGCATAAGAATTTCCCAGGACTAGCAGTGGACTTCTGTTAGAGAAATAAGGCCACCTAGATATCTACAATAAAGAACAACAAAAGTCCAAACTACCTTTGAGCAACAAATACTTCCGAAGTTTTAAGTAGCTTGGTCTGTGCTTCTCAAACGCTAGTGCACAGAATTTTATAACAATGCAGACTGGGCAGAGGATTTTGTGACAATGCAAACTGGTAGATTGGCATGGGGCCAGGGATTCTACATTTCTAACATGCTGCCCGGTAATGCTGTTATTTCTGGTCCACGAACCACACTTTGAGTAGTAAGATCTTAGAGGATGAGGTGTTTGTGTTCTTCTGGAACTTGTCAGAGGTAACCCAAGAGCTCTCTGTCTTTCTTCCTGTAGTAATTCAGTGAAGTTTTCCAAACTGTTATCGATCGTTCTCAGTACCTGGTTCACTGCTGCAGGATTCATTCACCTGGTAAGCAGCTCATCACAATCTCTCATGGTGTCTGTCAGTAGGAGCATCTTTTCCTTGAAAATGGAGGGAAACTTGCTGAGCCCCTATCTCCATCACTGTAACCCAATGAGAGGTTTATCTCTTTACTTTCCCTTTTCAGGTTTTATCCACTCCCATATTTCTCACAAATATGTCTCCTACAATCAAGGTGTATATGTTCCCTCTTCCAACTTTCAAAACCTGCTGTTAGGTTTATTAAAGACCTAATAAGTTCCAAAGGTATGAGCGATAGGTAAAATTTATTGCCATATCTTCATGGTAGTCCTGAGATTCTAGTATTTAAAAGAACAAGTCAAAGAAATGAAGCTAATTAAAGAATCTCAAACTTATAAAAGCTGGAGAGTTGTGGGGGAGGAGTTGCTGTTGCAAAAGGGAACTTTGGGGCTTTCTTGATTCTCCTTAAATCAATCCATATACCTAGCTCTCTATTTTGCCTATAGAAAAGGCTAATTATTATCCCACAAAATGAGCGATATAGGAAATGGATTTCAGCAATAGGAAGGAAACTTCTGGACTTTACTGTTTGAGGGCAACTGAGCAGCAGATGTTAGAAAATGCAGAAATTGAAGAGAGATGTTGTAAGTGTGCAGAGGCCTCTGAAAACAACAACAACAGCAAAAACCCAGAAGAAATAGCAGAACTCTTTGTTATTTGAGTCCTCCCCTCAAAATTAATTAAAACAATAACAATAAAAAAGAAAAAATATAAAAAACTTACCATCTTCAAATCATCAAGAAAAATGTCAAAGACCAAATGCAAACTATGATACAAACCTTCAAGAAATCTGAAAACAGCCACATCCCTGCTCAGCACTCAAGCAGGAGAGAGATTTTCCTGAAAAGATTTGTCACAGCAGTAAAGGCAGATCCCTGGATTTAGAGGATTGGACCTAGAGTCGTGGGCCAGAAGGAGAGAAGAAAAACTCTGTTGTTTTCAATAGCAGCTCTAATGAGACGTCTTCAAGCTGCATATAACCTAAAGGCATATTTTATTTGGCCTAATTATCTTTATTTTTTATTAGTTGCTAACTTTTATGGCAAGCTCACATAAAAATCTAGATTTCTGGATTCTCTGGGAAAATACAAGGATATTTCAAAAAGTTCATGGAAAGATTCATATTACTTTTGAATTCTATTTTCAACGAACTCTTTGACGTATACTCATGCAAGGTTCTGGCAACCGCACTCCCCCAAGGCCACCAGCAGTCATAGCTGAAAAGTAGCTGTTCCTGGTAGATAGCAGGTGCTCTTGGGTTGGACATGGTCTCAACCAGCCCACTTGAATCATTAAAATCTCTTGCTTGGTCCCCCTAGGCAGTGAGCATGTGGCCCTTACTGGACATCCAGTCTCCGAGGTGAAGAGCCCTTCAGCAAGGATGCATGACAGGAAAAGGAGAAGCAAACAGATGGCTTAGGAATTAAAAGGCTCCACTTTGAGCCACACCAATGTCTAACATCTTAAAAAAAACCCTAGAGCTATTTCTTAGAGCAAAGAAAATAGTAGATTATGTTGAGAGAATATTTGAGATGACAAAGCATAATAAAAACTCTGACTGTCCTAACTTACCACCTTCCCATACTCACATTACCCTTCAGCTGAAAGCTGATACCATTCCAAGATGAGCATTAACTGGAAAGGAATCAATAGGGCGCCTGTGCTTACACCCTGCCAAACAGAACAAGCGGTGCGGCGGGGAGTGGATGC